CTTCCAGCTTCTCCAGCAGTTATGCCTCTATTTCCCTTTGGGCCTTCTCGGGGGCTGCTGATCAGCCCTGCCTCTTTGATCAGACCCATAGTTAGGCCCAGATACGCTTACTGGAAAATAAATCAACCAATCAGAACCTAATCTGGGTGAACTGTGAAGGCAGAACGTAAGGTGGAGGCTGAGGAGGTGTTTTGAGGGCAATAGCTGTTTGGTGTAATATGTAAGAAAGCGGTTCAATTTTTTTTATGACCAATTTGGTAGTATATGGCATATGGCATATGGCATATATCAGTCCAGATATATGGATTATGTGTTCTTGTCTGACAAGGCTCCCCCTCATTTAAGCAGTCCTATCCTATATAATCTATCTATACTACTAAAAGGGTAATATGCTAATTAGACCAATCGACAGGCCATCTGCTGGATGTCCAACTTCCTTCTGGACAAAGCCATGATGGTGGGGGCCATGGCAGTTAGGGAAGATCAGGCCAGCAGGGGAGGGAAGTTGGGGGAGAGATCAGGCTAGCAGGGGAGGGCAGTTAGGGGCGATCAGGAAGGCAGGCAGGTGAGTGGTCAGAAGCCAGCAGTCCCAGATTGCAAAGGGTCCCCGATTGGAAAGGGTTCACCAGGTCACTAGTCTTTGTAATAATCTAAAAAGTTAGCAAAGCAAGCCAGCTGGTTTCATCTTATCACTTCAGCAAGCAACCAAGACATTAAAAATTCCATTAATGCTCTCAGTTCTAATATCCACAAGTATTCTGGAATACTTATATCTGTTAAAAGTTAAACAGAAAGAATAAGTATGAACTAAAGAAAATGTCATTTAAATGCTTAAGTTCAGAAAAGAGTTATTTTTTTAAATCAAATAACAAATGGCTTATTTTTTTGATATTTGTTAATATTGTTGCTATTCATGGCAGTTGTTTTTATTGCTTTTTAACTGCAAAAACTTGGTACTATTGAGGATCTAGCCATTAATCTGTAGAAAATAAAACATATTAAAATGATTTCATAAATAGCATTATTGTAAAATATTATTACTATAGGTATAGCTTAAGCAAAATGTTAAACAATTTAACTTATCCAACAAATATTCAATCATTTGTCTGGCCAGTATGACTCAGTGGTTTAGCATTAACCTATTTCTGGTTAGGGCACAAACCCAGTTTCTGGCTTGATCCCCAGTAGGGGATTCTCTCTCATCATTGATGTTTTCCCTCCCTCTCCCTTCTCTGAAATCAATAAAACATATTTAAAAATTCTTCAATAATTTTTGAAATTAAGATGATGAAACAATTTACAAATCAAATGAGATAAAAGTGTGTATATGTGAGGGAGAAGAGGGGATTGGGGGAGAGAAAATAGAGAGAGAAAGAAAGAGAAAGAGAAAGAGAGGGCGGGGAGAGAAAGCAAAATAAAGATGCTTATATCTTTTATCATACTATCTTAAGATTTTACTATACACATGCAAAACCTTAATTTAAAAAATAAAAAAAGATTTTACTACCTTTGAAAATTAAAGAAATCCTAGAGAAGTTGATGAAGTGAGAAAAAAAAAAAAGTAAAATAACGGAACATAGATGAGTGAGGCTCCCAAACAGGACTCAGCTTGCGAGGTGAGTGTAGGAACTGAACACACAGGCTATCTTATATAGAATGAAGAGGTGCCAATAGGCAGTTAATTTCCTAAGAAACAGAATAATTCTCTAATGTGTCCTTAATTAAAATGTCTGCAAGCAGTGGACACACTAATTATCCATTTAAACACTCTACCTTATATACATACCAAGAGGGGTTTTAATTTTACTTTTTGAGAACATCACTTTCTTCTCAATAATTATTAGAGTTTCTAAATGTACCTTCCCCACACCCCAAAACACACACATGATTCTTTCATTAAAATGTTGTGCAGACTACTGAGATCCTTTTTCCTTCCTTTAATGGATGAGAAACCTGACAGTTAAGGAGAAAAAGTATTAGGTAGCACGATTTAAATGTTTGGATAGATTAGTAACAAATTAAAATTGAAACTTTGTTCATGTGAAAAACAGGCTTTATTTATGGACTATCAGAGAAATGGATAATTCTTCAGAGAAATATTCCTAACCTTTAAAAATAAGTTTTTTAATCCATGCAGATATTTACATAGTTCCGGCAGTTTGCAGCCCTGTATTGCTGGGCTCCATGGTCTGAACTATGAAGTCATTTTTGAGCTCCTAGTGTTTCAGGCTACCACCAACTCCAGCTAAGTTTCAGGTGTTTTCAAGGCCATGGCTTATGGCAAAGGTTGCAGGTGAATCAACTATTTCTCCACACCCCCAACTTCAATATTGCCTGTCACTATCAATCTGATGTATTTAATCTTCTCCAAACTCAAGAGATAAATGGTAGAGCAGGAATGAGTTTTACTTAAGTCTGCATCTCCCAAATGAGTTGACTAAAGAATAAATGCAGAAGGAGAAAAGGAGGAAAGAAAGAAGAGTTCTGATTCTGCCAAAAAGGTTTTAAGGGATATGAAGGAAGGAACCTCCTTGCTCTGTCTTTGATTCCAGAAAGATAATTTCCCTTTACACCATTAATGTGGCAGTAGAAAGTAGGTATTCTCAGACATACATGGCAGATCCCAGATATTAAAGCAGCCCAGGAGCTGAGGGTATGAATGGCGGTGTGACAAGTTAGAATCAATTGCTTGGATTGTTTACATAAAGTGAAAACAAATTAAGTCAGTTAGCGAGACAAGTACCCTATAATTTCACTGACATGTGGAATCTAATGCATAAAATAAACAAACAAAATAGAAACAGATTCCTAGATACAGAGAATAGACTGACAGCTATAGAGGTGAGATAATTGGGGGCTGGATGACAAAGGTCAAGGAAGTAAGCACCAAAAACAATAACACAAAACAAAACAAAAAACAACAAACATCCTTAGAGAGATAGACAACAGTATGGTGCTTATTAGAGGGAAAGTAGATTGGGGGGTAGAAAAGGAAAAATGGTGGATAAATGGTGACAGAAGGAGACTTAATGGGATGGTGAACACACAATATAATATACAGATGATGTGTTATAGAGTTGTACACCTAGAATCTAATATATAGTTTTATTCATCAATGTCTCCCCAATAAATTCAGTAAAAATAATTAAAATTAAATTTATAAAAGTGTTCTCAACTTTTAATTAAAACTTTTCACTCTGTGTGTTTTTCTTTTACAAAGGTTTAACTATATAAGCCAATTTAAATCCACATTGTAATCTGTAACAGTTTTAAGAAACCCTACATAATGTCTTTGAGGATCAAACCAGAGTAGACAGAGTGGATCTACAAAATGGTCCATTTGTCTATTTCAGTGTTTGCCATGGGAGTCACTCTGTTAACCAAAAAAGGTGTCTGCTAGGTAGCTGGCTTAGCTTAGAGCATCAACAAAAACCCTTATATTGCTATTTTAAGGACCCTCCTTAGCTCTCTCATCTAAATTCTGAACACAGTCCTAGCCAGTTTGGTTCAGTGGATAGAGCATGGGCCTGTGGACCAAAGGGTCCAAGGTGTGATTCTGGTCAAGGCATGTACCTCAGTTGCAGACTCCTCCCTGGCCCAGGCCCTGGTTAGAGCTCATGCAAGAGGCAACCAATTGATGTTTCTTTCACATCAATGCTTCCTCTGTCTTTCCCCCTCTCTTCTACTCTCCCTAGAAACCAATGAAAAAATATTCTCATTTGAGGATTAAAAAATAAAAATAAATGAAATTAATAAATAAATACTGAACACATTGTTGCTTCATAAAAATCATAAGACCTGGTTTGGAACTAAATACAAATTATTACTCTTTCAGATGTTAGAAGTGGGACAGTATATTACTCAATAAATGTCCATCGATATTTCTAGAGAAACAGGTGCATCTGGTATTTGGACATTTGAGTCTAAAATTTTAACTTTACCTAAGAAAAAGAACCTTGTAAACTGTAAAGAAAAGCAACAATATTCTAGAAATGAAGCTTGGGCCAAGTATAAGTGGTGATCTTAGGGACAGTGTCTAAGTCATGGTAATGTTGTTTGCAAGGATAATCTAGGTCTATATAATGAGGTTATTGACCTGCACTGTTTTAGAGCAGTTTTAAACATGAGGGGAGGCTCACTAAATCTCATCCTGCAGCATTAGCTAGAGAAATCAGGACTGATCAATAAACAGCCACCCATTACAGGCACACAAGAACCTTCATCATAATGGTAGCCATTATCATTTTGGTCAGGTACAGAAAATAAGGTAATGCATACCTAACCTAACATCTATTTATCACTGGACTCTCATTTGCAAGTGGAAGCCATCAATTAGCTATTTTTGAAAACTGAGCTGGCTTTCCATTCCTCTTCTCATGTAATAACCTATGAATAAACATGTCAGATGCTTCAAATGCACACGAGGAAAGGAAAGAAGTAGAAAGCTTTCTCCCAGGCCAGCTTTTTCACCCAAGAGAGAAGCAATTACATGACATTTCACTAACAATTCTTGACCCAATGAAGATCTGAATCCCAAATGCCGATTCCTTTTTCATAAGAAAGAACAACAGAGAAAAGAAAGGTCATGGACCATATTGTGTTTCTTTACAGCTGTTGGAGACAGACAGTATGATGCAGTAGCTCACTTTGAATTAAGCTAAACAATATGAAAAGCATGAAGGCTGGCAAGCAAAGCAATAAAGCCTCAAAGAATTTAATCCACCTTGAAGGTGGGGCTACTTTTTGTATTGATGACAGTGCACCAGGGCAAAAAAATGAGTCCTTTAATGCAATGACTAGTTAATAGTCCTAAGATCACAATATATAAATAGGATATGTTGATAAAAAAGACAGCTCTGTCTCTGCTATTGCAGTATGGCCAATATTTCTTTACAAGTTATGTCATTGATTATAAATACACCATGCCAATGGCAAATGTACAACAGGGGAAGAATAACCCATTATGAGGTAATAGATATTGCTAGAGGTTGCTTCATTACCTTCACTGGCTCAGTGGCTGGTTTTTCCTTGTACAAATGCTGCCCTTTAGACAAAATCCCTTCCACATCCGGCTGTTTAGCTTGAACTGCTACTTCGGTTTCCTGAGAAATAGAACACATACAGTGCAGATTAACTTCACAGTTAGTAATAAAATTACTAAATTTAACTATACCCTTGGAGACTCCACATGTATTGCAGATCAATTTCTGCATGGTATGTAGAGGCACAAAAAAGTAGCTTCAACTACAGAGAAAAGAAATAAAAGTCTTTGTAAAACAGACTAAAGTTTTTAGAAATTTATCCAAAGTTATCTTAAATTATATTGTAATGCTTCCATAGAGAAACAGACATGGATGTTCTATTTGTCAAAAAAGTAAAATGCAATAATGAAAAGTACAATTTATGAATAGGATTAATATTTTTGTTCGCATCCATAAACTCAGTAATATTAATGTTCATTTTACTTTACAAAGTTATTAGTTTAACAGGATTCTATTTGGTGTTTGAGATCCAAAATTGTTTCAAAATAGAAATCCAAAAATTCTTTCCACATCATTGTAAAAATTAAGTTTCTTTCCCAAGATTAAACACTTAGAGCACAGTATCTAGGCTTACTAATTATTAAGTAGTCAAGTGAAATAAATCTTTTGAGAAATGATTCAATTATTTTAAGAAACGTGTTTGTTTTTCCTTAGTCTGGAGAAGATTGAGGTATGACTGAAAAAACAATAAACAAACAAACCTTTTTACATATAGAAATATAAAGTGCTTTGCTACTGGCTTCTGTCTAGCTCCCTTGAAGAGAGAACAAAAGATATGTGCATAAATTGAAACTAAAGGAAATGAAGTTAAATATTATAGAAGACTTTTTGGATGGAACACTTGTTAAACACTAGGATGGAGTATCGATTAATCAATGTCAAGTGTCAGTCAGGGCCTGGGCAATATACCCCAGAGAGCAATTCCTGATTAACCCATATCTCTCTTGATCCTTCTCCTACCCTGTAGCCAGCCTCCCAGCACTGCTGGGTGTACGTGTCTCCATGCCACTGTTACCTTTATATATTGTGTTTGTATCTGTTCTATCAGACTATCAGACGTGGGAGTACTCAACCCAAATGACTATAATCTTATATGACACAGTTGGATGTCTTGCAACTTGTAGGTGCTCAGCAAAAGCTCTTGAAATAGATTATTTCTTCAGTTCTGATTATAATAAATGCCACTGGGAAACAGGCGCTTTGGTTAAAAGTATTCATAACATTAAAACTAACCCTGTTCATAAATGGGTACAAATGCAAGACACCTATACACAAATACATGCATACCAACTTTAGGGACAATAATTATGAAAGAAATGAACCACACATTATAAGTATTAATTTATTTTCTAGGATAGGAAATTTTAAAAGTTATTTAAAAATCTTACTCAATGGTAACAAGGTCAAGTTCAGAGTGTGCTTGGTGGAGGTGGACTATTTTTCCCCCTTTAAAATTGTTTATAAATGCACCCACCGTAAATTCTATACCTTCATAAAATGGCCATAAATAGTCAATAATTTTACCAATGCTCTTCATATGCTGCCAAATGATTAGCACTAACATCTTTCTCTCTTTGGTCCTACTCTTCAATAGTTCCAAATAAATACTTCCAAAGATCACAAAGAATCGATGCGACTATTCAGAAGACACTAGTAAATAAACAGGATTAGGAGACTGCATTTGATAATACAAGGAATTCTCTTACAAAGTGAACATAAGTATCTGAAATTTTCATTGGCAAATGAACAGAAACAGCAACAAGGTTGACATTAGGGAAGTCCAGATACTACTTAGAGTTGTGGGTTCGAAGCAGGTGCTTGCCAGATGGACTAAGAAAAAGGTGGCATGCCCTGTGAAATGTCCAGGTTTTGTAACTTCAGAAAGTAAAATACTCCTTCAGGCCACCAAATCAGCCCTCAGTTTAGTCCTTGGATGAATGAGCTTTGCAAAGTCATGCCATTTCCCTTTATAGAAATGTTTCCTATTAGCATCCCCTTTCATCACCATGATTGTCTTCTCTTCATTTTTCAATGAAATAATGATGAGTTTAAATACCTGGGTGAGATTTACAGCTGGTCTTACAGAAATAGAGTGATGGGTGAGAGAAACCACATTCATCTCTAAAGTATTTGTGGTTACTTCTCTTTGGCACTGTTTTGGAGAACTAGATCTCTCATTACAGGTACCTTTGAAAAATCACTTTAGAAAGACCATTTTGAAGATACAGTTCTAGAATTTACCTCACTATATTTACTTGTGGTATGAATTTATTAGTTAACAGGCAAGCTAGTTATTCAGGGTCAAATATTGCTTGAAGGGTCAACTTATGTATCCAATTAAATTCATTCAAATATTCTTTAGTATGTTTTTTCTTAAATTAGTGTGAGAAAAACACACCATAAAAATCAGATAATAATCCTGAGAAAATGGAAGCATGCAAGGAATAAGTTTTAAATTTTTGATAGCCCTCCATGCAATTAAAACTTGACATGAAAAATAAAAAATCAAAGCAAAACAAATAAATAAACAGCAACAACCCCTCAGCCAAACTAAATAGCTGTGTGAAGATAAAAATATATATATATATATTAAAATCCTTAGTTGTGCTGAAAATGCTAACAAACTACTTTATACTGGTACTAACTGATGTATTATAGTAATAGTAATAGAGTTGTTAGAAGTTTACTTTGTGAGCCCAGCCAGCATGACTCATTGGTTAAGTGTTGACCTATGAACCAGGAGGTTATTGTTCAATTCCCGATCAGGGCACATGCCCAGGTTGTGGGTTCGATCCCCAGTGTGGGGTGTGCAAGAGGCAGTCAATCAATCATTTTCTCTCATCAATGATGTTTCTATCCCTCTTTCTCCCCCTTCCTCTCTGAAATCAATGAAAAATATATTTTTAAAAAAGTTTACTTTGTGGCAAACACTGTGTTTCATGAATTTTATCCCTGACACTTATTTCCTACAAAAAGGGTGTTATCTGATTTTACAGATGTCAAAACTGAGGGGTACTGAGTCAATTTGTTCAAGATAACTTAACTTGAAAATGTCAAAGTTGAGATTACAATCAGCAAGTGTGCAAATAAACCTCCACTTTATCCCTTACTCTGCTGTGCACAGTGTGTATGTGTGAATGTGATAAAACTGGCAGTCATATTTCTTAATATGTTAATTTTTCTCCTCTTCTTTAACTCCAATACATTCTATAATATCCTTCCAGAGTGTAATTGAGATAAAATACTGTATCTTCCCATAGTAAAGGAAAGAAATGCTAACATAGCCTTTAAAATGCTTCAAGGGTATCTTTGTGTGGGTTTATGATTGCTAGACTGATAATATCCAGGTCAGGGAACTGATCTAAATAAACATTTTATCTCATACATGGTCTCACATCTTTATAAGATTTAAGATAAGGTAAAGAAGGTCACCACTGAAATGGAAACATAGCTAATTATAGTGGCCAGTTTTTGTAAGTGTTCAATTTCAAAGAACATTCAGACAAGAAAGTCTTCATGGGATTTCAACAACAACAACAAAAAAAACCCTCTCACTTCTAATAATAGAGCATTTCCATCTGAATCTATCCCAAGCAATGTAAGATTGAGAACTAGGAGTTAAGACCCTTATAATGTGATTTATAGTGCTTTATTTTCATCATAGTATTGACAGTTCACTATAATCTCCTGCATAATTTTAAGAAAATAGTATTTATTAGATGACAGAGAATAAACCTTCATTAATGCTCACAAGGATAATATGTTGTATTTTTAAATTCAGCCCTGATAGGTTTTTTAAATTGAATAACTCTCTGAGCACCTTCAATCTTATTTATAATTAACAAGAGGCCCAGTGCAAAAAATTCATGCACAGGGGCGGAGGTGTGTGTCCCTCAGTCCAGCCTGCACCCTCTCCAATCTGGGATCCGTCAAGGGATGTCCAACTGCCCTCTCACAATCCAGGACTGCTGGCTCCCAACTGCTTTCCTACCTGCCTGCCTGATTGGCCCTAACACCTTCTGCCTGCCAGCCTGATCACCCCTAACCACTCTACTGCCAGCTTGATCAATGCCTAACTGCTCCCCTGCTATCCCAATTGCCTAACTGGCCTCCCTTTGTACCCCTGTAGACCTGGTCTCCCCAACTGCCCTCCCCTGCTGGCCATCTTGTGGCAGCCATCTTGTTTCCACAGGGGGGCAGCAATCTTTAACCTCATGGGGGAGGCCATCTTGTGTGTTGGAGTGATAGTCAATTTGCATATTGCCCTTTTATTAGATAGGATAGCATTACTAATATTAGGAAGTTGGTAGTCTGAGAAGTAGTGAAGCAATGGTCAGTGATTAAAAAACAAAAAAGACTAGACAACACCCTTGAGGGTGAAAGTAACAATTCATATGCAAATTAATATATTTGCATTTTCTAAGAAATGATTTATTGAACATTATATTTATGTATTAATTCAATATTGTTAATTGTACATGTTTTTAAAACTGAGAATTTGATGTTCTCAAGAATATTCTAACAGAGATCCTAAGGATATTCTAACAGATACATTTTACCTTGTTTTCTTTCTTATTTTAAACTTATTCCCATTTCCATTATTTTACCTACTAGAGGCCCAATACATGAAATTCATGCACAGGTAGAGTACCTAGGCCTGGCCAGTGATCAGGGATGATCAGGGCCTTCTGGCTGCCATCCAGGGCTTTCCTTTTTTCCATGCCACCCCCTTGGTACTCAGTGCACATCATAGCGAGTGATTGAACTCTGAATCTCCTAGTTGAACCCCTGAAGAGACATTTTGCATATTAGCCTTTTACAGTAGGTCCTCGGGTTACACTGGAGATCCATTCCTATGGCACGACATAACGTGATCTTTGCCATAAGTCTAAACCCACCTACATAAGCACCTACATCACTCACATGGAACACATATACAATGATGAAGTGAAACAGTAAAAAAAAAAATTGAAAGAAAGATAACAATTCCTGACTTTTACTTGTGGTAACTAAATAATAAAAACATGAAGCACTTATATACATATGTTGAAATGACAGAA